TGAAGCTGCTGTCAAATTTAACAGCAACCCTCTTATTGCCAATCCATGTCATCATCACATAGGATCTGACATTTCAGTTGAAGAACATTAGTGAGGCTTTTTTTTACCATTATAACTTATGTGAACATTTTAACATCTCCTTTAAAGATATTCTAATTAGGGATACTTTGGATGCGGTCCCTAATCCTTAACATTCTTTGATTAAAACCTTAATAGTATTCAAAGTTTGATCAAGGTCCCTTGACTTTGTACACCTCATTATATTACTATTAATATTTATATTTTTATAGTTTTGACATTAATTGTTTGATATTTTATGAGATTTATAATCCTATAAATTTAAAATCCTTCATTATAATACTATTAGAAACAGTTACAATAAAAAAATTCAAACATTTTGATTGAATAAATGGATAAAAACTATGTTGATAGGAGCATATTTATGCTACTTAGTTATGTTATTTCCTTGCATTTAGTGAGCTAATTACTACTTATTATAGTGTTTTAAGCTATTTTCGTTTGTTTGTAGATCCTAATGACAAAGTTGGCAAGAAAAGGCAATTTTGAGCCTTTTAGAGCAGTTTGGGCTTATTATAGATAGCTTGTATATGGAGCAAGGTGGATGGACGAATTTGGAGTCAAAAGAGGCTAGGAACATGCTACAAATCAGAAAAGGAAAGTTCAAGACAAAGAAGATAAGGAAAGAGCAAGAAATATGGAAACTTATCCTAACAACCTTATCTTATCCAAACCTTATCCTATCTTATCCTAACCTAATCTTGTTCCACCTTAATCCTAGCTGCAAGTGGACCTAAAAACCTAATTTCTAGAAGCCTTATCTGACCCTAAAAGGGTGCCGCACCCTTCCCCCTTTTATTTCTTCTAGAACACCCAAAATCAGCCACAAAACACTTAGTTTCTAGAAGGCCCAATTTTGGACGAATTTCCTAAACCTTTTTTTGATTGGATTCTAATTTAATTTGGCCCTTTTCCTCTTGGATTTGGATTGTATAAGTCCATATCTGAAATTAATTGGGCTATGACTTAATTTCCAAACCTTGGCCGCAACCTTGGGGCCCTAATCACTTATTTCTGCTAGGTTTAACCCTAATTTCTGACTGCTAGGCCGAGCACTATATATAGGGACCTTAATTTGCCGCACCCATTTACACACCCTAGGCAGCCATTCATCATTCAATTCATTCATTCATTCACTCCACACACCATCCATTCAGAAATACAACTTTGTGCCGCAAACCCTAGGGAGAAGAAGGAGTGTCGTGGCCTCCATAGGAGAAGGAGACTCTTGTGCCGCAAGGAATCTTCAACCATTCAAGACTTTGACAGTTCTTTCTTCCCTCGTTTCGTTTCCATGTTTATTTTAATTTGTTTTTCAATTATTATGAACATGTGTAACTAAGTTTTTCTTAGTTAGAGATGAATTCAAAGCCATGGACATATGTTTTATATGAATTGATTTCCTCCAGATTTTGTTTCTTGAATTGTGAATGTGATTTACTTAATTGATTTATTGAGAACTTGTTCTTGTGTGTTGATTAAGGATGCATACTTAGTTTTCATACATGAATTTGATGCTAGGATATAAGGGAATTTCACCGAATCGTTATGAACTTATATTCACAAGTAGTAAAAATCACTAGTCATGATTGTATTAAGTAAATTCTAGGCAAGAGTATCATGCATCATAGTTACGAATGCCTAGTCAATGCTTAGGGTTTTCAAAAAGCTTAATGATCTTTGATTTTATCTCTATTATGCAGTTCATGTAGGGAATTTGATAAGAATAATTTGATTGTCGATGCGTATTCCATCTAATTCAATGAAACTAGGAAAATCTGAAAGTTAATTTGTGCTTTTCACAATTAATTTGGGGCATTGTCATTCATGGTTTAAGGGATAAAATCTGGAAATCAATTTGTGTTACATATATGCATGTGTGGAGAATGACCCTCTAACTAGCCTTTTTCCCATTCATTTCACCTAATTTAGTGCCTAATCTGTTTAGTTTACAATTTGTCCAATTTAATTAATTTCATCCAAATCAATTCCCCCTTTTATTAAGTGTGTTAGATTAGTTAGAAAAGTGTTTGAATCTGTCCAAATTAGTGTTTTGAGTCTAGTTTGAGTCTATCTGATTGTTTTGTGCTATTTTGAGTCTTTTTAATTTGTTTTGAGTCATATAGGTCTAGTTAAGTGTTTTTAAGTTTAGTTTAGTGTTTAAGAGTCTTATTTGAGTTGATTAGCATCCCTAGTTAATCCCCGGTTAGAACGATCCCTACTTGCATATATATTACAATTGTCACAAATAGGGTTTAATTTGTGTGCCAAGATAATTTTCACATCATATGTAAAAATAAGAAATAATAAATGGCAAAAGAATGTATCCATAGTGTTAAAAAAATGGTACATTTTACAAAACAATTGGTACATTTCACATATAAAAAAGTGGTACATTAATAAAGAAGAATGGGTACATTATATATAAATTAGGGTACAGATAAAAGATTAAAAAGTATGAGTACAAATGAATTTTTAAAAATATAGGCGCTAAAAGAAATTAATACATGGGTACAAAATAAAACTAAAAAGAAAATACTACAAATTAAAAAAAAATGTTGCAAATTAAAAATGGGTACAAACTAAAAATATAAATATATGATACAAAGTTTAGGCATAAAACATAAATATAACATATGTAATTTTTCTATAATTGATTAAATATACAATGTCACATGACGGTATACACATGGGTACAAACACAAATAAAACTTTAAAATATATGGGCACAAAAAGAAACTAATATATGGGTACAAATTACAATTGAAATGAAAATTGGTACAAATTAAAAAATATTTGCAAATTAAAAATAGGTAGAAATAAAAATAAAAATATATGATAAAAAAATTTAGCCATAAATATAAATATACTAATTGTAACATTTTTAACACTAAAGGAATATATTTAAAAATAAAAATATTTTATTATTCATGATGTTATTAATACCCAAAAACTTGATTAAAAATTCAAAATAAATATGATTTTAATCAATGGAACAAAAAGAAGAATGTAAACCTAATTTTCTAAAAATCATCAAATAAAAGTTTGACTCATCAATGGCTCCAAGCCCTGGTAGCCAATGTATGTCGGGATACCAACAAACGTTTTGCCAATGCCACGTACCGATAGCATGATCGATTTGCAAATTGGTAGAAAATTGAGCACAAATTTTGTTTAAATCAAGAAAGATAACTTATTTTATTTTATTTTTTTCAAAACATTTATTGAGAGTTGAAGCAACCATGGGATGGTACGTGTTCATCAAGAACAAGTTGGAATATAAGAACAAAAATGAAGGGCTAATCAGCCTTTTTATTCAGAGAAATTAGTCAAATAAATTAAAATTAAAGATGGGTATATTAGAAGAAATGGTTTTCTGGCCCACGGCATTCCGGGCAAAACAAAAGCTGGGTCCATGACTGGCAACAACCGGTACAAGTTGTGACAAGGTTGGGATGCGACATCAAATGCTTGTGCGGACGAGGTTGGAGAACATAAAATTGTGCTCACGTAGATGCCAACTGTTTCTTCTGCATTTTCGAGCTTGATTTTTCATGTGTTTCTTTCCGGTGTCATGAAATTAGGAATGTGATATCCACATATATTTTTTACTTTTCATAAATTTTTTATTAATTTCAGTCATTTGATTTTATTCAATTTATTTGATATGATGATCGGAAATTAAGAAAGTGTGTGAGAAGTAAAAAAAGATGTGTGGATAACATACCGATATCCACACACCTCATTTTACTTCTCACGCACCCTTTTATTAATTTCTATTCTTTTTTTTTTTGTTCAATTCATTCGATCCGACAGTCTAAAATTAAGAAGATGCGTGAGAAGTAAAAAATAATGTGTGGATAGCACAATCCTAAAATTATAACAAATATTAAAAGATCCAATTCCAACTGCCATATACATGTAGTTCTAGAGTAACGCTCAAGTTCTCCGTTTATCCTCATTCCTACTACCATGCCCACTAGTTGGTAAATATTGTGTGAAGATTGACCATCAATTTGGGTTGGCTATATTTTTATACATTGACATATAAATCGAAACGTGATAATATTTCGTAAATTCTTGCTAACGACCATTCTTCACACGCTAACCACGTGAACAGTTGTAAGAGAGAAATGTAGCATGCGCTCGTAATATGCAAGAATTTTTCTGTAATGCGAATTGCTGAGCTACCGCATATAACTTTATCATACATTATCAAAATCTGATTATTATCCTTTTGTTATATATTTGTGAATTTTGAGTTGGTGATGATCATTTTGGGCTCTGAATTATATCTTTTTCATTTTAAAATAAAATAGGCAATTGTTTTTTACTCACTAAAGTAAGGGTAGTGTTATTCGCACACTTCTTTTTCTTTCTCACGTACCTTCTCAACTTGTAGCTGTCAAATCAATGATGAATATCCACAATGAAAAATTAGTAAGAGTGTGAGAGGTAAAAATGAGGATGTAAATATCACTATCCCTAAACTAATGGCTCAAAGAACAAGCACAGTTTGCTCTCCACTCCTTGAAGACTGTAGATTAAATATGCAGAGTCTGCATGGTTTTTGTGCAGAACCTGCAGAGTATTGAGCAGACCTGCAGGCCATATATCAAGATGCAGAACATCCCAGCTCATGAAAATTATTAGCTAGAAAAATAAGCCGGCCTCCAACCGCTTGATTAATAAGTTTATGAACACGTAAAAAATACAAGTTCAAGTAATTAATCCTTACACAAATAAAAAGAATGAACATAATTTTCATTTCACAAGCCAGAACTCAGAAGAGAACAGCTCAATTTGACACCAGCATGTTAATCCCCAGCTAACATGAATGAACAATGAAAATATGTAACTGATATATAAAAGCATTTTTAAACTACATCAAACAATGTACTGAAAAACTCATGACTAACTAATTAAACTGGTTCAATCTTGTAAATTTTGGGTTTGGACCGTTTGATCATCCAGTACTCTTCAAAATCCTTGGCCTCGTATGGAATCCTCAAAAGTCCATCATTAGGAAAACCATATTCTTCAGCTGATCTATGCAGCAGCTCAGAGAAGTCTGCATGATGAAGCAACGTCATATGAACCATGAAACGCTTCGTATCACCATGTACTCCAACACAAACAGGAACATAACCTTTTGGTGTCACTGAATTATGGCTCTTTAGTCTTTTTAATCTTTGTACTCTTGGAGCTCCGATCAATTGGCTCAAAACCTTGCTGCTCCTCACCCCCATTAGCAAATAGCAAATTACTCTCTTCATCTGGAGTTCTGGGTCACTACTTCAGTTTCTTTTAGTAGTGATTAGTGCTTCAATTAATTTTAAAATATATAGGTACACTCCACTAGTACAAATTTAAGGCCTTGCGTACTTTGCGTCCTTTCTTGCATTCCGATGAATTAGACGTTGATCAATGATATTTTTTTATTGGTCATTAACTTGATGATTTGTGATTTGTGACATGCATCTGGTCAATATCAAATAAATTGGTAAATCTTGATGTACATATTGTCTTAAGTGGAGGCAACATGCCGTGACTATAAAATTGAAAATAGCTTTGAAAATTTAAGAAAATAATGTTTACACTCTTTTTTTATCCTTTCATATACATCTCTTTATTTTATTTATTTATTTATTCACATTTATTCAATTTAACAGCTAGTGTATACAAAATCACACATATAACAAAAATAATTGTGTAAAAGTCATTTTCCTAATTTTATTTCTGTGCCTACTATTTTACTCTCTAGTTGACACATATTAATCTTGAATCAACTACATTATAATATTTTATGTCTTCGCCGTCTACGTGCAAACCTGCGAATAAGTCAATGGGACGAGCATATAATTCAACCTTGCCGACCGTCGGTCCATATATTTCGAAATCTGAGGTTAATCATGCAGATAACTAATACAAAACTGTAAGGGTGCATATAAGACAATTGAGTCTGTTTCCTTTAATTTGTTCACATATTCACCAAGTACAAGAAAGAACCATATTTGTACTGAATGAAAATTTGTTTAGGACAAACCTTCTTCTTCCTTTCCTTTCTTTTTTAGGAGTTCGGGACAAATCTTAAGTTCTTAAGTATTAAATATTGGATTTCTCAAAGAAAAAAAAAAGTATTAAATATCCTAGCTAGCTACTTGAGGGGTGAGGTGATAAGAATAAGGTTGCAATCAAAGTTCTAAACGACGTTAAACGCTAGTTGAGCGGCAGAAACCTAGGTAAATTTACATAAACAAATTTATTATATATTATATAAATTAGTTAAATTTACTATATTTAATATACAAACAAATATTTAATAGGGTAAATATCGGTTTACTACCCTTAAGTTTCGTGGTTTTCAACATTTGGTACATGAAGTTTTTTTCGTCCCAGAGTCATATCTAAAATGTTAATTTTGGGATAGTCTCATAAATTCGTTAGCCTGGCTGTTAAATCAACCGTTAACTGATGACATGACGTCCACGTGGACAATGACTGGGCGCCACGTGCCAATATGGGGTCCACGTGAATATTAAAAATTAAAAATTAAAATTTTAAAAATATAAAAAATTGAAAAAAAAAATTATGTGCATTCGTTCACTCCTCCCGACCCCCTCCCTCCTTCTCTCTCCCTTCTCTTCCCTGCATCCAACCTCCTCGCACATCCACCCATTCCCCTCCTACACCCACCCATTCCCCTCATTCTCCCTCCCTTCTCTCCTTTACACTCCACCTCCACTTTCCTAAATAGCGAGTTCCCGGTCACCACTGACATCGTTGTCGCGAAAACCACCATTGCCAGCCGACTCGATAGGATCTCGAAATCCTGGCTCTTCTTCAAGCTTTCGATTTACTCAGACAGTGTCTCGAAGAACGGCGACGTCGTTTTGTCCTTCGTTTTCATCACCCTGGCAATGGGTGGCACGCCCTCCTCGTCCATCTCGAGGCGCGTCTTCTTCAGCGCTACCAATTAGCTGGTGGCTTTGTCCTTCACCTTGTAGACCTTGTTGTACGTACCTTCACCAACCTTCTTAAGCTTATCGTACTTCTCCATTTCTGAGAGATCGGGAAATCAGAAACCCTAGAAATTTGAAGTTCTATTTCTTCCTCTTGTTTTTCTGGATCAAAATCGATGGGTGTGCAAGGTGGGTGGGTGTGTGGGAAGGGTGAGTGCATAGGAGAGAAGGGAGGGAGAAGGAGGGGAATAGGTGCGTGTGTGGGGAGGTTGGGTGCAGGGAAGAAAAGGGAGGTCAAAAGGGTGAACGAACGCCCATAAATTTTTTTTCTTTTTTTTTTTATATTTTTAAATTTTAAATTTTTTAATATTCACGTGGGCCCCATATTGACAGTGGCGCCCAATTATTGTCCACATAGGCATCACGTCATCAGTTAAGGCCGATTTAACAACCAGACTAACAGATGTATGAGACTGTCCCAAAATTAACACTTTAGGTATGACTCTAAGACGAAAAAAACTTCATGTACCAAATGTTGAAAACCATGAAACTTGAGGATAGTAAACTGATATTTACCCTGTTTAATAACATATTGTTCTAAAGGATTCTTACATATTATAAAATATAATTTTTTTTTGTCAGAAAATAAATTTTTTATTAAAGAGAGAAAATTACACAAACATAAAAAATCCAAGCCAAAAGAGATCAGCAACTGAATAGATCATGAGAGGCTCACTCAAGCAAAGGCCCAGTAACAAGCAAGAAAGCAAAACACAGAAAACAAAAATATCTAATTGCCAACAACAAACGGAAACAAACATTTGTAGCTGCACCAGTGGAGACAACGCCAAGTTGAGTCCCGCAAAAGTAGTGCAGCACCACGCTAAACCATATCCAAAAACACACCCAAACCATAAGTCAAATCTTAAAATGCCGAAACAAATTGAACCACCAGTATCCAACCTTTTTTTTTTGGTAAAAAGTATCCAACCCTTTGATAGCAGCATTTGCAATGAGATCCAAGAAAAGGGAAAAACAAATGAATGGGGGGAGGGCAAAGGGGGCATGTAAAACACACTTGTTACGAAGCAAATCGCACCACAATTCGCCCAATTTTTTCAACAAATTGATATAGCAAGGGCCTTGAGGTGTAGATCTAGAGATTCAAGCAGGTCAAGCACTTCAAGGTCTAATTTATGGCTAGGTGAGGAGATGGATATTGGAATGCATGAGAGGGGAAAATGCGTTTGCAGGGGAGGGTACTCAAACTTAAGATTAGGGTTGTAAGAGAGGAAGAAAATAAGAAAGGAAAGAGAGAACTAGAAAATTGATGATAAACACCAATGAAACGACGATTTACGTCGGGAAAACGTGCCACCGACTCTCAAAATGGTAGTCAGAATCAAAGATGGTTGGAGGCAGAGCAAGGGGGTGGGATTTCTAGAAAGAGGAGAGTTTTTTCTCTTTCTAAAACCAAAAACGCATATAAAATATAAGTGTTATGTGTAACATTTTAAAGCATTTATTATTATCTTGTGACATGTGGGCTCGTGGGCTTAACAAACAAAATCCAAAAATAATGCCCCACTTGTATATAAAAACATAAACACAAGCATTTGCCTGCAAATAAATCCTACACTCGCCTCTTTGCCTCAAAAGTATACAGAGCAACCGTCTCCATTTTCATTCCTCTAAACCCTAATGTCGCCGTCTCCATTTTCTCCTCCTTCAGTCTCACTCTCTCTCTTTCTTCTCACTCTCTCTTCTGTCTTCTACGCACAGACAACGAAATGCAGATATTTCGCCGATATAGTATGAGATTGGCACTTGCAGATCTAGTAAAAGAGTCACAGTAAGTTGGGTGAGTTGTAGCAAAATAATATGCCTAGACTACCACATAGCGCCCCCTAAATCCTCTCCGCCTTAGTTGAACATTTTGGCCCAATTATCTTAATGTGGTTTTACTAATGGATCCCTATATCTACTTAGGTGCAATTGTTATTAGTGACCATGTTCCTCTTAGTTTGGGTAACTCTTCGCAGACAAAGTATCTATGAGTGGGTTTTTTCTCTTAAAAGTAGCATTATATATAGTTTCCATATTTTTGTTTGTGTTTATTTGTGTGACATATGCCATATAACTTGGAAAATAATAAATGCCTACGGTTACTGCCTTATTTATTATATTGCAAGTATAAACTATGGCATGTACGCATTTGTGATTTTTCTGCTCATTATTAAAAGTGTCCATGGTGTCACCTTTAGTTGTATTGTCTAGGCCAGTGATAAGCTTCATTCGTATGTTCACATGCACCATTTATGCTCACTTTTAATACAGAGTAGGTGTCAGCATGTCCCTAGTTTTGCATTAGGTAACTAGGACCTGTATGTGAGCGCATAACGCTAGCTTCATGTAGTACTAGAATGTAAATTACACACTCAGCCTATTCATGTAGTGACTTTACATGACTTGTGTGCTTATATGATCTGATGAGCAATGACTACTTCCTATAAACATTGATTTTACTATTCTATACTCGTATCTTTTTATTACTACATTTATTGGGTACTATACAATATACTTACGAATAGTATGTTATTTTGGAAAACCATGCTTGTTTTACAGTGAGGGGTTACAACTTTCCGAGAACAACAATTTTTACAAAATTTTACTTTTCGATCCACTCACCTTTGTTTTTCGTCCCTCCAAGACTTAGTAGCAGTGTTCTTGTGCCGATGAAGATACTAGTAAATAATGACCTACACTTCTGTTAATGTAGGTTCCTTTAGTTGTTTAATGTGTCCATTATTCGGGGATGAGAACATTCTTCACTTTATTACACTCTTATCTATACTCTGACACAGCCACTTTGTAATAAGGGCCTAACCAGCATATTGCACATTCTTGCTTTGTTTACTTAAGTTTTTAATTTATTCACACACCATCACTTTATGGCTTCTTTACCTTCCAGGTGTCATCTAGCACAACTCGACTCAGGTGTCCACATGGACATTCAGGGTCAAGATGTGTCACCCAAGTTGGGATCAGAATTTTTACCTAAGTTGAGATCAGAATTTTTTATGGTTTAAGGAGGTTATTCCATTGTAGACTATTACTTTAGAGAAATTTTACTATATCCAACTATTACCATTTTGTAAATATGTTTTAGTTAATGTGACGGAAGATATATTTTGCTTTGATGATAATGATGTTGATGACTTGGGACTTTGAATACTAAGGAAAATACTAAGGAGATCATATTTTTAGACCATATGTTGTAAACCATATGATGTGGTTGTGGAGCAAAAAATAATTCAAAAAATTCTGGAGCTGACACAGTGAACTTTTTCCCGAAGAAATCAAGTATGACCTTATTAAATTGCCGATGCCCACATTTAATCCATGCATACTTCAACATTTCTGAAAAACCTGGCAGCTGACTACAATTTCATCAATCTCTTCTATCCCTGGCAAAGAGAGGTCAAAAGTATTAGAGATAGACTAAATCCTATCTTTAAATTCCCCTAATTAAAGATCAACTCAATCAAGCAAGGAATCACAATCATATCCAATACAGGATCTTTCAAAGATAATCCCATGATATTATTTATTAAATATTATCTCTGGGATATTTGAGTAAATGTGTTTATTTGTTTTATAGGTACAATTTCGTCAAGATAGAAAATGGCAAATTTTTGCTACCACAGTAGTAGCGATTAATGATTGGATTCCTTTTTTAATGATTAAAGACACATCATGTTATTTAAAATACATGGTTTAAAAATGTGATCTCTTTAGCGTCACCCTAAAATTACTGTGCAATTGTTTGTTACTCACTAAAGTAATGTCTCAAAGACCAAGCACCATTCAGTTTCTTTCTCCACACCTTCATGAAGACTGTAGATTAATGTGCAAAGTCTGCAAGGCTTTTGTGTAGAGCCTACAGAGATTATCCAGCAGAGTCTGCAGAGTATCATGATACAAAATATCCCAGGGGGAAATCCTAAACCCTCTTTAACATTAACAGCTAATGACTTTTTTGTCGCACAAATCAAATGCAGATAATTAATCCTTACACAAATGAAAAAGAATGTACATAATTTTCATTTCACAAGCCAAAAGAGTATAGTGCAATTTGACACTGGCATATTAAAATCCCCAGCCAACATGAACTTAGCAATGAACATATGTAACTAATATATACGAGCAATTTTTCTAAATAATTTCATCAAACAATCTAACAGAGTAATTGAACTGGTTCAACCTTATAAATCTTGGGTTTGGACCTTTTGATCATCCAATGATTCTCAAAATCCTTGGCCTCGTATGGAATCCTCAAAACCCCATCGTTGCAGAAACCATATTCCTCAGCTGACTTATACAGCAACTCCGAGAAGTCTGCATGGCGAAACAATGTGGTATGAATCATGAAACGTTTCGTATCCCCATCCACGCCAACACAAACAGGAACATAACCTTTTGGTGTCATTGAAGGAGTGTTTTTCAGTCTTTTCACTACTGGAGCTCCGATCAACTGGCTCAACAACTTGCTGCTTCTCACCCCTGTTAGCAAACAGGAAAGTACTCTCTTCATCTTGAATTCTAAATTAGTGCTGCAGTATTTGTTTGAGTAGTGATTAGTACTTCAACTATATATATAATGGATACACTCCCTAGCAGTACAAATTTAAGGCCACCCGTACTCTGAGCTCTTGCTTACATCCCAATTAGACGTTGATTAACGATATTTTGTAGGGTCATTAACTTGATGATGGTGATTTGTGATATGCATCTTAATTAATACTCTATAAATTGTAGATGTTGATGTGCATTGTCTTAAGTGTAGTTAGACATGCCGTGACTACAATTTGAAAATGGCTTTTATAATTTTATTTCTGGAACTAATATTATTTTACTTTGTAATTGCCCACATCTTGAATCTACAAAATTATAATATTGTGTTTTTGCCATTTGGGTTATCTATATGATTAAATCAATGAGATTAATTAATTCAACCTTGCCGACCTTCAATCTATAAATTTCGAAAGCTAGGCTAATAATCTTCCAAGGTGTCTAATCATGCATATATAACGATAAGGTGCATACGAAACACTTGAGCCTATTTCACGTATTCACCAAGACCACGTACAAGAAGGAACGTCCTTACTTGTACTCGATGAAAACTGATTAGAGACAAATATGAAGTGACAACTGAAAAGTATTAAATATTAAGGAAACGATATGATTTCATTAATGAAAGATAAAAGGTATAGAAGCCAAACTACAAGAGGTTAGATTCCTCCACCGATAGGTGGACAATCAGAGTGGAGGATCCAAACTAGTCTGTTGTAGCTATTGTTAGTTAAGCTTAAGTATTAGTTGTCTAGTACAGTTGCACAAAAGGCCTTGTAATGTGTTTATTAAGAAAATTGAGGATCCACTAAAAAAATCAACTAACAATATGAGGAGTGGCTCAACTTATAAATATATGTGAGTTAAAGAGTTGGAGGTGTTTTTGTTTGGGGGGAGGGGAATAAATCCACTATCCCCTAGGGGATTAGAGAGGGGTGGAAATGCTCTAACACATGGACAACACAAATAGGGTAACAAGAAGCATGTGTGGCTGTTGGGCTTCACACGCATGACAACCTGCTCTAATATCATGAACAAAGTAGAGGTTCCATCATAAAACAAATTGCAATATGGGGAGTAACCTAACTTACTTTTAAGTATATGCAAGGTTTTGATAGGAGCATATTTATGCGCCTTAGTTAGCTAGTTCTTATGCATTTTTGTTATGTTTTCTTCGTTAAAGTAGTCTTTTAAGCTACGTTCATGTGTTTTCAGGTTTAAAGGACATATTACATGAAATGATGCAATTTGGAGCAAAACTGAGCTGGAATGTGGTGTATGCAAATAGAGCACGAGGAATAGACGTCCAAAACAATGCATCACACAATCTTCCTCCTAAGCCGTGCATCCCACCATGCCTATCTATCATCCATAAACCCTAATTCCCTTTAATCCATAGCCTTCCATTTAATCCACCCATTGATAATTCCCACCATTCCACCCAAAACCAAGCACTAACTTCCCATTATCCATTTCCACACCACTTACCATTATCTCCCACTAATTATCCATCATCCGTGCATTCCATTGCTCCATTATTCATATTAGCCACCATAAAATAATTTCCATTTAGGCCATTCACTCCATCATTAACCTTTTTATTTTCAATTAAGCCGTGACTCCACACCACTTCCCATTATACATATTAAATCCGTGCATTTTCCATTCATCATTAACCCTAATACATATATTCACACCCTTATTCCACCATACTTCCATTCTACAATAAACATCCACTTCATCCATCATTCGGCACTAGCCATTATTCCATTTTTAATCATGCATTATCCATTATCTTCCACCATCCCTTAAACAAACATCCACTTCATCCACCATTCCACCCAAAACCGTCCACTTCCCATTATCCCATTCATATCCCCCCAAAACCCATGCATTACCTTTTCCCTTCCACCATGCCATTTTTCTAACCTAATATTCCATCCACTATAACATTTTACATCCACTAATACTCCATTATTCCATATCCCATGATTCATTCCATTTCATCCGTAGCTTCCCATTCCATTTTTACTTCCACATTCCATTCAAAAACCAATCCGTGCATTCCATAACCATACCAACCTTCCTCCATCACCTTACACACCTTCCTACACCACCAATCCTCCATAAATCCATCCCTAAACCCGCAAATCATCCACCAACACCATTTAACCAATCTGCCGCAGAAGGAGAAGAGGAAAGAGGAGCTTCGACGCGCACCAATTCACGTGGATTCGTTGGTCGTTCTAGGTGTAATCAATCCTTTGTGCTTTATGTTTAAATTCATTTGTAATTCTCTTTTTGTGAATATGAGAGGCTAAATCCCCCTAGTTAGCTAGGGGGTGATTCGAAACCATGGTTATACTTGCAATATGAATTGATTATATTTGGTTGGAATTTCATGAATGTTGGATTCAATTTGTTTAACCGTTTGAGTGATAACTTATTTATGAATGTTTATTAAGAATGCGCGCTTAATTTTCATGCATAAATATGATGCTAGAATATAAGTGAATTTCACCTAATCGTTATAAACTTATATTCACAAGTAGTGGAGGTTGCTTATAAACAATCGCGTTAAATGAATTCTTGGCACGAGTATCATGCTTTTCATAGTTACAAATGCCTTGTCGATGCTTATAATTTCCAAAGAACGTAATGATTCTAACTTGTATCTTTATCATGCTGTTCATATAAAGAACTTGTTAGGAATAATTTGTTTGCGATGCATATTCATCCAATTCAATGATTCTAGAGAAATTTGAAAGTTAATTTAAGCGGACCTAATTAACTTGAAGTGTCGAGTTCCATAATTTATCGAAAGACCAACTGAGAATTAATTTTGTATGCAAGTATAACATGTGTGGAGATGAACCCCTTGGCTATTCCATCATCCATATTTTCATCTCATTCATATTTACGTTTTGCCTTTAATTACAATTTGTCCATTTAATTTAATCTCGTCCAAACACAATCCCCCCTTTACTTTATTGTCAAATTAGTTAGAAATCAATTTAGTTTAGTGTTTTATATTGTTTTTACGTTTTTGAGTCAAAAATCCAAGTGATTAACAATCCCTCCTAATCCCCGGTCCAGAACGATCCCTACTTATTCATATACTACAATTGTCACAAGAGGGTTTTAATTTGTGTGCTTACTTAGTTCGCATCAAATTTTGGCGCCGTTGCCGGGGATTAGCAACTTTGCTAATCCCTTGGATTGTTTTATTTTCGTTTGTTTTTATTTTTCCAGATTCTTAAATTTGTTTTGTTTCTTGTTTTAGGTACTAGTTCATGACTCGGAGTTCTCATCCGATTCGTGAACATATCCTGGAGTGATTGGGTTCTTCGTCCGGCTGCAAGACGTAAAAGAAAGCGCTACTTGGGAGGCAACCCAATACAGTGAATAAAGCTTGTTTATTGATTTCCGAGTGATTACAAAAAAAAAAAAAAAAAAATGGTAGAAAGATGGAGTCTTCACAAAGGTTGTGTACTTGAGGCCCCACTACGTGGCAACACTCTCGGAACAGGAGGTATCGGAGCAGGAGGTATCGGAGCAGAAGGCATCGGAGCGGGAGGCACCGAAGATAGATCATTCAAGGCCTCAAACCTTGGTGGAACGCTGGATGACCCAGGAAAGAGGTGCCTCTGGAAGAAAGCTGCAAACCGTTGACGGTCATCAAGCTCATCAAGCTTCCTCTTCATGCCTGTTGAATAATTGTTGGCAAGCACGTGCAAACTTCGGTTCTCGTACTTAAGCTGTTTGATCTCCTGCTTAAGACTCTCCACCTCCGCCATCAAGGATTCAACCTGTCGGGAGCGAGCAAGAAGGCGTTGGCCCATGTTGGACACAGAGCCAGTGCACTGAACGCTAAGAGCCAAGGACTCTTGAACGGCCAACTCATCGGACCGTCCAGAAAGCAGCTGACTGTCTTTGGGAGTGAGGAGGTTCCGAGCCACTATCGTAGCCGTTGTGGGATCCGTCATCACAGAGTCCTCATCTGTAAGAGGGCCATGGGAAGATAAGAAAGACGGACACCATACCTTACCCTGACGAGACGCGACCGGATCACTGCTTAGACTCAAATCTAAGCAAAGGTTCAATGGGTTGGATGAGCTAGCCATTGTTCACGAAGTTAAAAGAGAAGGGGTGGACGGAGTAGATTTTCAAACGGGCCGGAGACGATTTCTGGGCAATTTTCAAGTGTGCATGCTAGAAGGTGATCAATCACCTCTATTAAAGGAGAGGCGTTCACCAATTCAGAATGAAGAGACACCACTCTTCTCGTCAGACGCAATCCCAGCTTTTCAGAAGACGCGTGGAAGGCGAGAAATCAGCTGCACACTTTAGCTGACAAATGTGGGAGACAAAGCCGAAAGCTCCCGGCTTTCCAGAAAGCGTGTGCATATTTGTCGAAAACTCCCGGCTTTGCAGAAAACGCGTGCCACTTGTCAAAAGATCTCAGACAGAGCCGCATCCGCGTTGCTACGTGTCGTTCAGAAAGCGAAGGGCATCGTTCAGAAATCGAAGGGGCGACTGCTCAGAAATCGAAGAGGCAAATTCAAAGATCGAAGAGTCGTCACTATTTCAAAAAGCTGGATTTGCGGGATCAAAACGTTTGTCGACAACGGTAAAAGAACAGTACCACCACTTGTTATCAAATTCCCTATATATGTCGACCTTCATTTTTTGGCAAAGCAGAACTGAAGAAAATGCCCAACTCTTTCTCACCTCTAAGGGCGCACTCCCAGCAAAGCCTTTCGAAATACTCCATTCTTTCTTCTTCCCCAAAGATGATACCAGATGCTTGGAGTACAGATGACCCAGGAGGAAACAGCACCACAAATACATGTGCTGATTCATTCACCGCTTCTTCAAAAGCAAAGGTATCTCATATCATCAAGGGCAAAAGCAAAGGTATCTCATATCATGCTCTTTCCCTGTCTTTTCCTTTGTCCTTGATATTACTTGCATGGCAAAGTGAAAGAAGCAATCAGCCGGCACTTGGAGTCTATCTGGACTCTATTCCCTGGTTGCTTACCTAGCTTTGCCGAGCTATCCTCTAACCCTCTTCAATACGAATTGGAGAGATTGAACAAAGAAACAGATAAAAGGAGGAAGCTCAGACCTTCGGGGGAGACCAAAGGAAGCCTGCTACCCAGTTCACAAGTAGCACAAAGGAAAATCAACGATGGGAGCAGCGCATTTCAAGAGTAAGCCTGTGGAATCACTCAAGATAAAGCCTCACTGCAATCACCAAGGAGAAGATGGAATTTACACTCCACAACCAGATTTGCATCTCTAAAACTCTTCTCTTTGATAGATACATTCTGCCATGTTTAGTATGTTTAGTATGTTTAGTTGTTGTTTAGTTGTTGTTTTATATGTTTTCTTTTGTTTGGTGTGTTTTAAGCTTAAAACATTGAGGACAATGTTTGATTTAAGTGTGGGGGGGGGGGGGGTAACTAAGTATGTTGATGCAAATTTGTTGGATTTTATCACCCATAACTTCAAGTGTTGTTCCTTGCTGTTTTAAAATGTTTTTAAACTGTTTTAGTGTGTTTTGACTTAAAAATTCGAAAATCCCATAAAAATTTGAAACATTGTTTTGAAAAACCCAAAAAGAGTTGTTTTAAAGTTGTTTTTGTGTGTTTGTGTCGTAGGGTACCTTCCAACGCAATGATGAGGATTTGGTTTTTAATTGCATGATGGTTAAAGAAAGTTACAAACATGGATGGACGTTTGATATACTCTTTGGTTTATGCTTGGTTGTAGTTATAGTTCACGAATTCACATGCAATCACAAGGAAAAAAATTAGTTTTTATAACATGCTTGAAGGAATGAGCTCAAACTAACACTACATCCCTGTGAGACTTGAGCTTAAACGTTTATTTGGAGAGTTAAAATCTGTGCATTCTTTGTTTTCTAAAGTCGTTGCATGATCTCATTATTCTTTGATTGGTTGCTACTTAGAAGGCGTTTCATCACTTAGTTCCAAATGCTAGAACTCATGCCCATTTCATTCAAAGCATGTCATTGATTTGCATACCACATATTCAAGATGAAGTTGTGTAGTGACCACCATCAAAGCCAAACAGCCATGTGCCCTTCACTCATTTTGTGTTTAAGTTTAACCCCGTTGAGCCGTGTTAGCCCATGTTCTTTGTTAACCCACATTATCCTCACCTAGCCTAGATTAGGACCATCCTTACCCTTGTTCTCGAAGCATAGTAAGCAATGAATTCCTTTTGATTAATATGTTGCAGAAAATAAGTGTGGGGGAAGGATTATTGATGTGAGTTTATGTGCCATAGGCACGGCTAAAAAAGAGTCAAAAAAAAAAAAAAAAAAAAAAAAAAGTTGAAAAGTATTGGTTGTTGAAGTAAGGGCCCAAAACAATGAATTAGGCCCTAAGAGTTGTTTGAATCTCCCCTGTTTGTCTAAAAGTTGATTTCTGCATCCTAAGGGAATTCTAGGTCTTAATTTCATTACTTTACTTATTATTGCTTAAAGAACGTTTGTTATTCCTTACCTTCCCTTGTTAGCCAAAACCCCAAGCCCCGTTACAACCCTTGACTTCTATCTTGAGTGTTGTGCATTTCAAATGTGGAGTTTGAATTTGGTTATGAGCATATGGTGTCACTGGTTCTCGCATCTAAGTAGTAGCATCCCATTCGTGAGATCATATCCATACACGTTTAATTACTCCCGAAATTGCTTTCCTTGTATAACGTATGTGAGTACTAGTCTTTCATGTTTACATCAATCTTCTCACATATAACTAGTGTAGGGTGTGTAGTCAGAAAATTTGAGTGAAAATTGAGTGCATAACGAGTGAGGAATTGAGGGAATTCTCTAAGGCATGTTACTACATTCAAAATATGTTTTAATTGATTAAATGCGAACTAGTGAATGGTGACTATGATTAAGTATGTGCTTGAGGGAAAGGAAGACTAAAAGCCATGTGAGTAATGAATTTTGACATGTCATGTTTCATTGGAAATCCCTGAGGCGAACGTTGGAAGGTTTAGTTTTTGGTTTTGGTTAGTTTGTTTCGTTTTGTTTTCTTTCTTGTGTTTGTTTTGCTCGAGGACTAGCAAAAGCTAAGTGTGGGGGAATGTGATAGGAGCATATTTATGCGCCTTAGTTAGCTAGTTCTTATGCATTTTTGTTATGTTTTCTTCGTTAAAGTAGTCTTTTAAGCTACGTTCATGTGTTTTCAGGTTTAAAGGACATATTACATGAAATGATGCAATTTGGAGCAAAACTGAGCTGGAATGTGGTGTATGCAAATAGAGCACGAGGAATAGACGTCCAAAACAATGCATCACACAATCTTCCTCCTAAGCCGTGCATCCCACCATGCCTATCTATCATCCATAAACCCTAATTCCCTTTAATCCATAGCCTTCCATTTAATCCACCCATTGATAATTCCCACCATTCCACCCAAAACCAAGCACTAACTTCCCATTATCCATTTCCACACCACTTACCATTATCTCCCACTAATTATCCATCATCCGTGCATTCCATTGCTCCATTATTCATATTAGCCACCATAAAATAATTTCCATTTAGGCCATTCACTCCATCATTAACCTTTTTATTTTCAATTAAGCCGTGACTCCACACCACTTCCCATTATACATATTAAATCCGTGCATTTTCCATTCATCATTAACCCTAATACATATATTCACACCCTTATTCCACCATACTTCCATTCTACAATAAACATCCACTTCATCCATCATTCGGCACTAGCCATTATTCCATTTTTAATCATGCATTATCCATTATCTTCCACCATCCCTTAAACAAACATCCACTTCATCCACCATTCCACCCAAAACCGTCCACTTCCCATTATCCCATTCATATCCCCCCAAAACCCATGCATTACCTTTTCCCTTCCACCATGCCATTTTTCTAACCTAATATTCCATCCACTATAACATTTTACATCCACTAATACTCCATTATTCCATATCCCATGATTCATTCCATTTCATCCGTAGCTTCCCATTCCATTTTTACTTCCACATTCCATTCAAAAACCAATCCGTGCATTCCATAACCATACCAACCTTCCTCCATCACCTTACACACCTTCCTACACCACCAATCCTCCATAAATCCATCCCTAAACCCGCAAATCATCCACCAACACCATTTAACCAATCTGCCGCAGAAGGAGAAGAGGAAAGAGGAGCTTCGACGCGCACCAATTCACGTGGATTCGTTGGTCGTTCTAGGTGTAATCAATCCTTTGTGCTTTATGTTTAAATTCATTTGTAATTCTCTTTTTGTGAATATGAGAGGCTAAATCCCCCTAGTTAGCTAGGGGGTGATTCGAAACCATGGTTATACTTGCAATATGAATTGATTATATTTGGTTGGAATTTCATGAATGTTGGATTCAATTTGTTTAACCGTTTGAGTGATAACTTATTTATGAATGTTTATTAAGAATGCGCGCTTAATTTTCATGCATAAATATGATGCTAGAATATAAGTGAATTTCACCTAATCGTTATAAACTTATATTCACAAGTAGTGGAGGTTGCTTATAAACAATCGCGTTAAATGAATTCTTGGCACGAGTATCATGCTTTTCATAGTTACAAATGCCTTGTCGATGCTTATAATTTCCAAAGAACGTAATGATTCTAACTTGTATCTTTATCATGCTGTTCATATAAAGAACTTGTTAGGAATAATTTGTTTGCGATGCATATTCATCCAATTCAATGAGTCTAGAGAAATTTGAAAGTTAATTTAAGCGGACCTAATTAACTTGAAGTGTCGAGTTCCATAATTTATCGAAAGACCAACTGAGAATTAATTTTGTATGCAAGTATAACATGTGTGGAGATGAACCCCTTGGCTATTCCATCATCCATATTTTCATCTCATTCATATTTACGTTTTGCCTTTAATTACAATTTGTCCATTTAATTTAATCTCGTCCAAACACAATCCCCCCTTTACTTTATTGTCAAATTAGTTAGAAATCAATTTAGTTTAGTGTTTTATATTGTTTTTACGTTTTTGAGTCAAAAATCCAAGTGATTAACAATCCCTCCTAATCCCCGGTCCAGAACGATCCCTACTTATTCATATACTACAATTGTCACAAGAGGGTTTTAATTTGTGTGCTTACTTAGTTCGCATCAGGTTTCTCTTTTTATCAATGTGAGATTTATTCTCAACAGATTCTTACGAATGAAATGAAAAATCAGTTTTTCACTTTAATATCTTTGTCTTTCTCTTTGTTGCTTTAATTATCTATAAAAACAATGGTTGCTTGGAGATTTTTATTAACAATACGTTTGAAGATTATCTCATCAAAAAATCATTTGAATTAGATATCATTTATGCATCCACGCGTATGGAACAACTCGACGATTTGAGTAAATGTTCTCTAATTTGAATGTTTTTTATTCTTTTGTAGGGATGAACTTCAAATAGATAGTAAGAAATTGAACAATTCTGATTATGAAAATTATACGATAAAAAATGTTATTCGCAAGTGGTGAAATATGACATTACATTGTGGGGATGCAAGTATTACTATGTATATTCTAATTTATACATCTCCACAATAAAGATATTCAGAAAAAATAGGCTTCCATCATCTTCACATTAAGAACTATTAATTTATAGACACAAAGAAGAAATTAAAAAAAATTCTTAAAGAAATAAGAAAGAACGAACATAATTTTCATTTCACAAGTTAGAAGAGTACAGTAGACACCATCATATTAATCCCCAGCTAACATGAACTAGCAATGAACATATATAACTAATATGTAAAAGCATTTTTCTAAATATTTCATCAAGCAATCTAACAGCAGACTAGTCGAACCGGTTCAACCTTATAAATCTTGGGTTTGGACATTTTGGTCATCCAATACCCCTCAAAATCCTTGGCTTCACATGGAATCCTCAAGACCCCATCGTTGCAAAAGTCATATTCCTCCGCTGACTTATACAACAACTCCAAGAACTCTGTATGGCGGAGTAATGTAGTATGAACTATAAAACGCTTCGTGTAACCATCTACATCAACACAAACAGGCACATAACCTTTTAGTGTCATTGAAGGACTCTTCAGTCTTTTCACTCCTGGAGCTCCGATCAACTGGCTCAACAACTTGCTGCTTCTCACCCCGATTAGCAAATAGCGGAGTTCTCTCTGCATCTTGAATTCCGATTACTAGCTACTACAATTTTTTTTGGTAGTGATCAATAGTTCAATTAATTTCAAATATATAAAGGTACATTCGACTATCAGTACAAATTTACGGCCGTGCGTGTTATGCGTCCTTGCTAAAATATCTAGTACTATATATTAATTTACATATCAGTTAGATGTTGATTTTTTTTTTTTTTATCTCAAAGATAATTTTCCTTAAAATAAAAATTAATACAAGGCCCAAAAAGGACCGGGTAAACAACTACGGGGAAAGTGAAAGGTCCAAACAAAATGAAAGCAGCAACCCAAGATACAACAGAAGGCCCACACAAGTTCAGGCCTAAAGGCAACATAAAATAGACAATAAAAACCCCTAATCTCCAATAGCAAAGACCACACTACCGCCATTGTCACATCCTCTGAGGAAGCCAAACTTCGAACCAAGAAAGTAAACACCAGATCCAAGTCCCTTCACGAACCCCTGTAAATATATACAAAAAAAGTAACATATGGGAAGAGGGTGAGGCTAAAAGGTAAAATACCCAACACTTGGCCTCGATGGAGGTCCGGCATGGCAATTAAGGGAGGGGAAGTGAGGGAGGCAAGTGGATCTGATATCCAATTTCTGATCAGAGCCCGCTGAACCAAGCACATGGTGGGATGAGGATGAAGTATCACAGCTAGGGAGGAGGGATACAGCTAGGGAGGAGGGAGGAAAGGAAATAAAAGATAGAAAAGCAATAAAAGCAGGCGAAAAAGAGCCGGATAAGAGGCAAGAAGCCTTGGATAGTTGAGGCATGGCTCAAGGAAAACTGAGATTAAACTCAGGGTAGAACCGAGAATTAAAAACGAAGGGAGAAAACTGGAAAAGATGAAGGAAGGGAAAAAGGGAAACAGGGAAGGGCGAGAAGCAGAGGAGAAGAGGGAGGAAGGAAAAATAGGCAAAGTGCAAAGGAAGGAAAACCTAAGAAAACTCAGGAAGAGAAGGAGAAAAATGAGGAAAAGAAGAAAGGAAGGAAGGAAGGGAGGAAGGGAGGATGTCTCCGGCACCCAAGCCAAGGGCTAGGGCCAGCAACGAAGTTGCTGGGAGGTTTTCATAGAGAGAAAAGGAGAGACTTTTGAGAGAAAGATCTCAGGAGGTGCTGGTTCCTAACTTACGAACAAAATTAGTTAGATGTTGATTAATCGTATTTTTCTTTGAAGTCAGTAACTTAATGACTTTGGGGTCAGTAACTTGATGATTGTGACATACATCTTAATTAATATTAAAAAATTGGTAACTATTTAGGTATATTATCTTACGAAAGATAATGACTTACATGGAACAAGTCACCATCACGTACTATTGTTTATCCAATAAGACATTGTCAAGTGCAAATTTTTCTCCATATGACAATGTCTTACTAAATTAAGACATTACGTAGCAATGAACCTATTTCATGTAAATTATTCTCCTTAGGCTACATGCTCTGACTACAAAGTTAAAAGTAGCTTTAATAATTTCATTTCCTATGCAACTAATATTTTACTGTGTAATTGCCCCATACGTGTGACAACCCATCCCACGTTTTTATTAATTTTAGAAGCATGAATTTATGAAAATGCCCTGGAGGTAAGGACTTTAACTTCCGTTGATCATCGGTTAGAGTGACGTATGATTTATTCTTTTAGCATATCCTCGTAGTACTTGCCACTACGAACGCATAGGCGAAAACCGTTTGCGAGTCCGAATTATAACAGTATAATTACGGACATTTGAAGTTGGTTATTTAAAGGTAGTTAAATTATTTGAACTCCCACCTTGTGGGAAGACTAACTAATCAGCCTTAAGTAAAGAGAAAAAGGGACCAATCAAATTAAAAGGGATGGAGGACCAATGAGAAATCAGAAAAGAAGAAGAAGAAAAAAAAAATAACAAAAAGGGGGGGGGGAGTAGCCTTCCCGTTGACCCACACCCACCGCGAGCTCCCATTTTCCAAGGCCGATTCCATCCAACTCCGGTGAAGATTTTCGACGCCACCACCACCATCTTGAAGCTCTCATTCCCCTCTACAAAACCCACCCATGAACCACCTTGATTAACCACGGTATGTGGCGGTTTGAGGCCATGAAAGTCGAAGAAAATCAATTTTCCAAACAACCTTGACCCCGTTGGACCACCATCGACGACGAATAGACGTCAAGAAGTTTTAGGCATCCGTCGGCTTTGTGAGAAAAATTGACCCCCTTTCGTCCACTTTTGGACTTTGTGGCAAGTATGAAAGTTGTTCCTCTCTTTGAAATCTTCATTCTTGTAAATTTTAGTAATTTTTGGAAACAGTTGGATTTTCCGGTGAGTCGGGGCAGCCGACTGCCACCCACGATGGCGCATGAGGCGGCGCGTGGCCAGTGGGCCGCCAATGCTATTTTTTTGGCTATGTTAAATGTCTTGAATTTAGTCTTGATATTTAAATGACTTAGGTTGATCGTTGGAACTTAAATTCTCTACGATACATTGATAGGTATTTTATGTTAATCGACGATCCAACCCTTAGATCGTCACCAAACTTTGTTATATTGTAGTACATAATATTTGAAGAGTGCAGGAACTTACGGATTTGGAATCCAATGCACAAATCTTTCCGAATTGGATTTGTAAGTTCATAAAATAAAACATTAACCGCTAATCAGTTTTGGGAATTGGCGAGGATCCAACCGTTGGATCGTAATAAAATTTTAGTATGTTATTCTAGAAGCATAATGTGGATTTTTGGAAGTTACGGATTAGAAATCTGATATGCGGATCTTCCGAATCGAGTTATACAGGGTTGTTGACCCTATCGTCAATCAAAGATCGGCAGTTGACTTTTGTTCAATGGGTCTCAAATTATTTTTGAAGGTCCTTGAGGATATGTTTTATGTAAATTATGTATTCTATCGGTAAGAACTTTGAGACGTGATTTGATAATTGATCACAGGCGACGATAGACCGTGATGTCTCGATGTGCATGCAAGATAATCATAGCGTGGACTCCAAGTGAGTAGGTCTTTTTCTTTCATAGGCATATAATTGATAGTTCCACAAGCACTTCTAAAGTGATATATGCTTGTTACCTACAATTAATCATTGCGAACTACGAATGGCTTGATCCTTATTTAGAGTACGTAGGCAGTCTAACAAGACGTTAGATGCAGCCATATAATAAATGAGGTTAAATAATTGAGACAATAGCATGCCTACAAGACGTTAGATGCAGCCATATAATAAATGAGGTTAAATAATTGAGACAATAGCCTTGTTTAGTGAATTGAGCAATGTGAGGGACATTGGTGGGAAGTGTGAGATTTAGCTTTATGATTTGGTGATTAAATGTTGATCATAAATCAATGCGTGAAGAATCAAGAAATTGAAGTAAGGAAAGGTAAGTAATGATAGTTAATTTAACTAGTGTCTAATTGGGCTTATCACTGATGATTACTCTCAAATGTAAATAGTTTGGGAGTAGGGTGTTATTGATTGTACATGTTACGCCGTATTATATATTTTGGGAATATCATGAAATGTTTGGGTTTAGATTGCATCATGGCATATTCATATGGATATTACCTAAACCTAACTATTGTGAATGCTTTGAAGTGCTAAATGACGCGCGGACGCCTAGGTAAGCTTCAGGTGAGCACGTGTTAATGATACTGATGGTAGTGAGTATGATTGTGTTGAGATATATTATAGCTTATAAACCTGCACCCCGGTGTTAGTGCTCCCACCCATGGCTAGGGCACAATCCTTCACGTGATGTTCACCTCCCACACCTTACGCTCACCTTGGATCCAAGGTAGGTGCACATTTCTGTCGTACATACCACTTTAGGTGGTTCCGACTCGTAGGTGACCCGCGATTATTTGCACAGTCTTCACGTGATCGTAGCACTTGAGCGTATTTATTTACACCTAGTCTTGTCGTACAGACCAATTTAGGTGGTTCCAACTCGTGTGCAAGTATACTTATTGAACTTGGCTAGCATGATTAATGAGATATGTGATGAGATATGGATAAGTCATACATGTCATTATAGATGACTCTGACTTATATGTTAGCTATGATTGATGAGATATGGATAAGTCGTACAGGTCACAAGAGGTGACTCCGACTTATATGCTAGCCATGATTGATGAGATATGGATAAGTCGTACAGGTCACAAGAGGTGACTCCGACATATGTGCTAGCATTGATTGATGAGATATGGGTGTAGTCGTACATGTCACATTAGATGACTCCGATTGATATATCATTTTGTATTGATTAAGTTCATTTGGCCTACTTATTAATGCATTGTGGAGTTGATGGACATGGCAAACTGTGGTTTTGGCCATTTTTTTAGTATGGTTTAGATATATGTATATATGTTGTATTGTCTTATGGAAAACTATACGGATTTTACATTGAGGGGCATTACTTTTAGAAAGGTAATACTTTGGGAAGCTTGGTTTTATTGTTCACTCACACTCTCTGTTTGGTGCTCATCCAGGTTTTAGCTGCTGAGTTTGTATCGACAATGATCTGTGGCAAATCTTAGTATTGATGGATACTCCTGAGGGTATGATTCTTACCCACACTTATGTACCTTACTTATGCTCTAACGTCCTGTGTGAAATGAGTTCGCTCCCGCTCACAACGCACTTTGGTATTTAAAATTTTTAGGTTCAAATTATTCACATTTTTCTATACTTTATCACATTTTATGGCTTCGTCACCTTTTAGAGGTCGGCCAACACAGCTCGATTCAAGATCCAAGTGAACTTTCTGGGTCGAGGTGTGTCAATACGTATATTCCTCTTGCATCTACCAGATTTTATATTATTTCATGTCTTGGGGTTTAACCCTTGACCATATATGTCAATGAATTGACAAATTAATTTAACGTTGCCGACCCTCTCTCTATAAATTTCGAAAGCTAGGTTAATAACCTTCCAAGGTGTCTAATCATGTATATATAATATGAATCCTGTTTCTCGTTATGAGAAT